CAACATCAACATAACACAGTAGCTGAAACGTGCCCCCCCTCCCCCAAGGATGGGCACTTGTTCTTAGAAGAAGTTTGAATGATTGGAAGGTGGCTAGAATGAATAACTTCTACAAACATCTGGAAAGATTCATAGGTTTACAGAGTGGGATGGACACAATAAGGTGGCGGGGACATAACAGTGTCATTTATAAGGTAAATGCAACATACAAGATCCTGAATCAAGCTAACCTGCAAATTAACAACTGGCATTGGAAGCATATATGAAAAATCAAATTTCCCTATAAGGTATCATATTTTTCTTGGTTACTAGCAAAGGAGGCTGTGCTGACACAAGACAATCTTATAAAGAGAGGGATCCCATTGTGCTCAAGATAACACTTATGTGGAGAAGACGTTGAGACAATTAGCCATCTATTTTTACATTGCGGGATAACTGACTAGTTATGAAAGATCTTTATTAATTTCAGAGGCATAGCTTAGACAATGCCTAATAAGATTACTGAAGTTCTTTTTAGTTGGGATGAAGCTGGAACTGGAGCAAGAGACAGAGATAGATGGAGAACTGTCCCAGCATGTATTTGGTGGACAATCTGGAAAGAAAGGAATTCCAGATGTTTTGAGGATAGTAAAAACTCTGTGTAGAAGATCAAGCTTAACTGTGTTTTACTTTTTTGCTTTTTGTGTAAACAGATTTACACAGAAAATACTATTTTAATCCTAGATGTCCTAGAATCTTGTTAAGCCTGAGGACCAATTTTTTTTGTCTACTCACTTGTAAATATAGTTTTAGTACAACATGTGTAATGATTTTATTATAATATACAATATGTTACCATCTCAAAAAAAAAAGAAGAATTGCCTGGGTGGTGAGGGTAGAGTTGGAGATGTATTTAAGATCACTTTAATTTTTATATATTCCTTAGCCATTCTGAAATGCCATGAAAATAAATTAGGACTTTTTATTTTTTGGCCTGGCCGGCCCAAAATAATTACGGGCTATAAGTGTAAGTATACAAAAAAATATATACTGATTATATATATTATATGTGTTTTATGATAAATGAAGTGTTCACTTTCAGCTTGACCGTTTGCCTCCATCACAAACCATCTTGATTAGTGCTTTATTATATTTGGATTCATTACTTCATCTTATTTTAGGATTATCGACTTTGTGTTAGTGGAGGCTTTAAAAAAAAGTTGTAGTGGAGGTTTTCCAGTAATTAACTCCTACTTCGTATATTGTATTAATATCAAAATCTAAAGTACTATATAATCATGCCTTTTTTTTGGTTCTCTATTGGTGAATAAATTATAGACATGCATATTCGGCCATTCCTTTTATAGCGTGGAAATCTTAGGCAAGATGACCCATTACTCAAGATCGAAGCTAGAATGTAAGTTACGAGTTTGATTGAACCAATAATTTTGGTCTAAACTCGATATTTATTTTTAGAAATCCATTAAATATATATAAAAAATTAAGTTAGAGTTCAATAACTTAAAATAATTTTTGTCCGTTGTTTCTTCTCCTCTGCAGTTACTGACACGTGCGATTACAATTGTGAGGGAAGAAAACAAGACAGGCCAAAAAAGGGATGACAACTCTTCAGAAAGTTACATGAGTGCATGCAAAAGTAATTATAAAAACTAGGGGTGGGCGTTGGTCGGTTCGGTCGGTTATTATGAAAGTCCGGTTTGGTTTGTCGGTTTTCGATTTTGTAATTTTAATAACCAAATCAAATCAAAGTATTTACGGTTCAGTGCGGTTTTTTCAAAGTTCGGTTCGGTTTTTTGCGGTTTAATTTTTCGATTATTTTTATTCCACTGGGGGCAATGTCCACTGATTCCATTCCAATTTTCATATAAAAATTAGAAAGTTGTAACAGAGACTAATTATTCTAAGAATTGAAAGCTGTAACAGATGTCTCCTATCCTAACCACCCCACCCAATAACAAAGCAATGCTATAAGCAGTCAATTTGACGTTTTAAATTTTGACTACTCCTAGTTGAAAAAAGTTAAGAGGTCAATAACTTTATTACTAGTAGATCAAAATGGACTAATTTCTTTTTCCTTTTCCAAATCTAGAACTAGAAAGTGGTGTCGCAATAAATAAAAGCAGTAAAATAAACCGAAAAAATAAGCTATAGTATACTTTGCTCGCCATTAACAAATTTAAAAGGACACAAAAATGGAGAAGAAAAACTCATAAGAAGAAGGTAACAACTAACCTGAGGAAGAAGGATGAGCGACTCGGCGAAAATGACGAGCTGAGGAAGAAGGATGAGTGTCGGCACTCGGCAGCACAACAACAGTCGCATAGACTTGGAGTGACAGAGGAGGAAGTGACGAACCCTAATTTCTAATTAGTAAGGAAGGGAAAATGTGAAATGGAAAGCGAAAGTATGTAGTGTAGGCTAATTAGACTTAGAGTTTGGGTAAATTGGGTGGGCTGGTATTGGGCCTTCAGAATTTCAGATGGGGTGGGCTTCAGAACATTAAGTTTAGTAGTTTACATTTTACAAAACTTTTGAGCATACCCAAAATTTTGATTTTTTGGTTTAACCGAAAATCGAAACACCAAAACCGTAAACCGCACTGAAAAACCAAAATCTAATAATTTAAAAACCGTAAACTGACTGAATAACCGATTAAACCGAAACCGAAAAACCAAAATTCATAGTTCGACCGGTTTTTTCGGTTCGGCCGGTATTATGCCCACCCCTAATAAAAACTCTTGACCTTTTTAGCACCTTTATTCTCTTCATTGTGAGCGGTGGAGAACCTCACTTACTTCATTGTGATAAATCCTACAGTTGCTGTAGGTAGATCGGACATTATGTTACAACATTATAAAGTTGCCTCCAGCCAAGAGCTCACCATTAAAGGGATAATAGAAGATTATCTGGTCTCTGGTGGTAACTATATCTAGATCTCCAAGATTTAGTAGTGTTGAGAAAGACACATTGTTAACTAGGTACGCAATATTACAACAACTATACCTCAGTCCTAATCAAGTTGGGAACAATTACATAAATCATTATCGTTTATGTCTCTCTATTTACGCGCATATCAGATCAATATTAAACATTTAGTTTTTATAACGCCATAAATTTATTTACATTTTTACTCAAATATAAATCTCTAATGACTAAAAGACTCCTAGGATACAAGTGATTTAAAGTAATAGCAATGGCATGACTATAACTTAACCACAACTAACTTATATCACCTATATTGATCTTTTTCTTCCATTATGACTCATATTTGGTTAGGTTGTATTGATTCTAAAAGATTGTAGGTCTTTCAAACTTGTATAAGCCAAAAATTATCCTAGTTATATTTAGACCGTGTCAGCACTAAGAGAGCCTTCGAGGGCTGCCACGTGTTATCAGTATGATTTCAACAAAAGACAGATTCAAGGTCAAAGTGATCTGACAAGAGATAAAGGACTAGGTAGAGGAGTCAACAGAGATTGAGGTCGAGGACGAGCACTCTCCTTAAAGGGAGCAAAAACGGCTAGTTTTAGGATAAGACTTTAAAGAAAATATTCCAGTGAATATTCTCGGGATCTGTACTATTAGAGTTTTATGGCACATATCCCCTTATAAATAGAAAGAAACCGAGTTATAGGGGAGATACACTCATTTGTAAAAGAACAACGCTTTGACATTCTCTAGAGATTCTTGCTTTATTACATACATACAAAAGACACCTTTTTTGAGATCCTTGTCTAGCTTTTCTCCCATGATCCAAGGAGTACCCGAATATTCAAAGGCTCATCAATTATTTATCAATTTCAGAAGGAATATTACATGAGTTCATCCTCTTTTTCGGTCATCTCTGTTATATTTATTTGTATAAATACCATTATACACTATTTATTGCTATTCACTTCATATTTGTGCCATTAAGTGTTATTCATTATTATACATCTATCAATGTTACCACATATTTCGTGACATTCTGCCACGACATTAGTTAAATAATCTAGTGGATATTATTATTGACTAAGATTAACCCTATTTTGTTAAGAAAATATAATTGTTTAAACCTAGATCTAAATTTTGAGTCAAACAGTTTGCCGCCGTCTGTGAGGATTTCTTAGCTAATATTTTAGTTTCCATTAGATCTACAACTCTTGTGACTTGCTAACCTAACGAGCCACAAAGTTTTTCTCCTATATTCAGGTATGGAAATTAGTAACCAAGGAAACGAGACTAGGGTAACAAATGGCGTTTCCCTTAACCTCATGAATGCTATCAACAAAAGCTATGAAACACGAGGCGAGGATGCGACACCCACTGCCTCCCCCAGGCGAGAGAGGTCGCCCCCCTTTTTTGAAGCACAACGAAACCAAATGGGAAAAGGAGCTTCCACGTCTACAGGAGAAGGGATGCCACCTGCTATGAAAATAGTCCTCGAAGTATGGCTAACCGACACCCTAGTAAGCGTGCTCAACAAACAAGCTCCATGCACGACCTTAGAAACCACAAGAGCCTACACGGTACAATGAGGGGACAAATAAGGCGATTAACCAGACCCCCTAACTCTAGGTAAAACTCACAATGTTACTGACAGTGCAGGTGACAGAGTCCTCGCCGTTATTTTGAAAAGAATGGAAGAAATGGAGAATGAGAACAAGGCGCTCAGAGACCAGATGAAAGAGCACCAGGAACGAGTAGAAAAGATACCAAGCACCCCTAAATTACTGCCGAAAAAGGACGCCGTCAGGTTCGTAGAACAACCGTATAGCGAGAAAGCGGCCCCACATGCCATATCAAAGATTTTCAAAATGCCACCGTATCTCAGAATATATGATGGGACAACCAACCTCGAAGACCATGTGACTCATTAGGTCACCGTCGTGAAGGGCAACGACCTCACCAAGGAATAGGTGTCCTCCATTTTGCTGAAGAAATTTGGAGAAACCATCACTGGATGGGAATTAACATGGTACTCACAACTACTAGCCCACTCAATAGAAATGTTCGAAGAAATGGCGGACAAGTTCGTGATGACACATGCCGAGGCCAAGAAAGCCGAAACGAGAGTAAACGATATCTTTGCCATCAAGCAATCCTTAGGGGAGGGACTGAGAGACTTCCTTGCCCGATACAATAGGGTAAGGATGCCCTTACCAAATATGTTTGAGGGAATGGCAATCGCAGCCTTTCAGAACAGGTTGAGTAGAGAAGGTTCAAGAGCGAGCAGAAAGTTACTGAGCCGATTAATGAAGTATCCCCCAACCACTTGGGATAAAATCCATAACTCCTACTATGACGAGGTCCGAGCAGATGATGACGACCTCAACAGACCAACTCGAGGACTCATCTTGGTACAAACTGAGCCCAAGAAAGAACAAAAAGTTAACATGAGGAGAGATCACCCAGTCTCGAGGCCAAACAAGGAGCGACATCAACCTTATGTCAGGACATCCGCTCCCTCCTTTCGTTATAAAGACGCCTTGTCCAGGCCGAGATCAGGAACGCACAGGAACGATAGTTGTATGCCTCCCTTGTTATTTGCTCACAACCTTTGCGTTTCACCTACAGAAGTGGTCTACGCCTTCGAGAAGCTTGGAACGAATGTAAAGTGGCCGCCAAAGATGAGATCCAATCCCAACACCAGGAAATCCGACACCCTCTGTGAATTCCATCAAGAACGCGGACAAAAGATAGAAGATTGCATCGCCCTACGACTAGAGGTGGAAAACCTACTACAACAAGGGCACCTCAAAGAACTACTCAATGACAAAGGCAGGAACACCTTAGCAAGGGGTCGAGAACGTTAGTGACAAGGTGGCCCGCCGAAGCCACCTTTGCTAGCTCGTACCATCAACATGATTATCGGTGGTAACGAAGATGCCACTGTCAACGATGTTAAATTCACCACCACCCGCAAGCTCAAAAAGATCGATCACCCACGAACGGTATGACGAACTCGAAGAAAGTATCATCTTTGATGAGTTAGATGCCGACAGTTTGACTTTCCCTCACAATGATGCCCTTGTTATTACTTTACAAATTTTAGATACCGACGTTAAATGAATCATGGTAGATGATGGAAGCTGAGCGTGCATCATCCATCCCCGAGTCCTCACCCATATGAGACTCGAGGATAAGATAGTGTCGCGCTGCATCACACTAATCGGTTTTAACAATGTAGTTGAATGGACTTCAGGAGAAATTACACTCCCCGTCCTTGCTGGTGGGGTAACTCTAGAGACAACATTCCACATCATGGACCAGGACAGCGCATACAATGCTAGAGTAAGATGACCATGGGTATACCCTATGATAGTCATCCCTCCAGCTTATACCAAGTGATAAAATTCCCAACACCTTGGGGAATATTCAGCATACGAGGGGAACAATGCACGTCTCGAGAATATTACCGAGTCGCCATGGACAACACGATAACTCGACAAAATAAGAGAAGGAAAAAGAAGCATAACAATCAGCATGGTCGAGGTTGCCATAAGATGGGGCTAGAGAAGCCATTACGGATCCCAAAACGGTCGAAGCTGCATAGAAGACCTCGACCCCGTCCAATTAGACCACAACAACCTTCATAAAAAGGCCTACATCGGTTGCAAACTCCGAGAGCCAAGTAAATTTAGTCAACTCTTAATAACTAACGTAGATTTATTTGCTTTCAGCCATGCAGATATGCCAGGCATCCCCAAGGAGATCGCCACACACAAATTGAACGTCGACCCCTTCTATCCCCCAGTAAGGCAAGTCCGATGAAAGTTCAAGCCTACCATCAATGATGTCGTCCACGATGAGGTAGAGAAGCTATTAGCAAACGGCTCCATCAGGGAGTTGAAGTACCCCAAATGCATAGCCAACGTGGTGATGGTCAAAAAGAAAAATGGGTAATGGAGGATGTGTGTGGACTTCACAGACCTAAACAAAGCATGCTCGAAAGATTCATTCCTGTTGCCACATATCGGCCAACTTATCGCTGCAACGGCGGGGCACGAGCTACTATGTTTCCTGGACGCATATTCAGTTATAACCAGATACTCATGGAGGAAGAAAACCAAGAGAAGACCAGATTCATCACCCACAGGGGAACACATTGTTATAGGGTCATGACCTTTAGGTTGAAGAACGCAGGGGCCACCTATCAGAGGTTGGTCAAAAAAATGTTCAAAGACCAATTGGGAAGTTCATGGAGATATATATCAACGACATGCTGGTCAAATCCATGAGGGCGAAATATAACATCGACCACTTGAAGGAAGCTTTCAACATACTAAGACAATACGATATGAAACTAAACCTCGAGAAATGTGTGTCTGGCGTAGCCTCGAGAAAACGTTTGGGCTTCTTAGTATCGCAGCGAGGGATTGAAATCAACCCAGACTAGATCAAGGCTATCGATGGAATACCTGAGCAAGCGACTACTAAGAAGCAAGTCCAAAGACTGACTGGTCGAATTGTCGCTTTATCAAGATTTATCTCAAGGTCGTCTGATAGATGTCACATATGTTTTGGCGTACTCAAAAAGGATAACAGCCTCGAGTGGATGCCCGAGAGTGTGCAAGCCCTGCGAGAACTGAAGGCATATTTATCATTGCCACCTTTACTCTCGAAGCCCGAACTTGGCAAACACCTCCTTGTCTACCTCGCCGTCTCCGAAGTAGCAGTAAGTGCGGTCTTGGTTCAAGAAAATAAACGTATGCAATCTCCTATTTATTACATCAGTAAAACACTTGTCGATGCCGAGACGAGGCACCCACACCTCGAGAAATTGTCCTTGGCCTTAGTCATTGCTTCATGAAAGCTTAGACCCTATTTCCAGTGCCACCCTATCTTGGTCGTCACCACTTTTCCCCTAAGAAGCATTTTACACAAACTAAGCTGTCAGGAAGGCTGGCCAAATGGGCCATCGATCTAAGTGAGCACGATATCACCTATCAGCCTCGAATAATAATAAAGTCGCAAGTGCTCGCCGACTTCATCGTAGACTTTAGCGCAAAAGTATTGCCCGAGGCCGAAAACGAAGCTGCTCAAGCTTCTCTTCAAACATAATACATCTGGGTATTATACACCGACAACGCATCCAATGCTTATGATATGGATTGGGACTCGTACTCGAGGTCTCTACCGGTGAACTAATTTGCCAGTCTATAGGATGCCCAGATATGAGTAACAACGAGGCCGAGTATGAGGCTGTAATTGCAGGGTTGAGGCTAGCACTCAAATATGGGGCGAAGCGGATGAGACTCCGCTGTGATTGTCAACTCGTAGTCAACCAAGTCACAAGGACTTTTCAAATCAAGGAACAAAGGTTGCAAAAATATCAAATCAAGATCTGTAAGTTGTTACCCAATTTCAATGAATGCCAACTCGACCAGATCCCACAAACTTAGAAAATCAAAGCGGACGGACTCGCCATGTTGGACGCTGCCACCAGAAACATCACGACCGGGGGGTAAAAGCGTAGTCCATCTCCTCAACTCGTTACTAGACCAAATCGAGGTAAAATCTGTAAGTTTAACTTAGGACTAGCGCAATTGTATTATTACATATTTGTAGGAGGGCACCCTCCCATACGACAAAAAGGAAGCTAAAAAACTAAGAATGCAAGTGGCCAGATACAACCTCCTTCATAACGACTTATACAAGAGAATGCAAGCGGCCAAATACATCCTCCTTCATAACGACTTATACAAGAGAACATATGGCGGCCCTTTGGCGAAATGTATAGGTCCGAATCAAACACAATGTGTTCTCAAGGAAGTCCATGAAGTCCACTGCGACGCTCATTCAGGTAATCGAACACTTGTCAGGTGCCTCATACGAGTTGGGTAATACTGGCCCACCATGAAGAAAGACGCCACAAAGTTCGTATAGAAATGCGAGCTATGTCAGAAATACCTCCCGATATTTCACCAAGCAGGCAAACACCTTCATTATGGTCACCTCTCCATGGCCATTCATTAAGTGGGGAATGGACATCATGGGTCCACTTCCGCCAGGGCGAGGTAACGTATGATTTCTTTTAGGTTTAACTGACTATTTCTCTAAATAGGTTGAAGCAGGGGCATTCTCCCAAATTCGCGAACAAGAGATAATCACTTTCATATGGAGAAACATTATCTGTCGATTCGGCCTACCTAAAGCGATAAGCTGCGACAACGGACCCCAGTTCATAAGGAAAAAAACCACTGAATTGTTCGAAAAATGGCACATTAAGAGGATACTTTCAACTCCCTATCACCCATCCGAAAACGGGCAAGCAGAATCCTCCAATAAGTCCACACTAAACATCATGAAAAAAAAGCTCGAAGACGCAAAGGGACTATGGACAGAAATGCTGCCAGAGGTATTATGGGCACACAAAACCACCCCGAAGATGAGCACATGAGAGACGCCCTATTCCCTAGTCTACGGAACAAAAATAGTTATACCAGTCGAGGTCGGAGAACCCAGTTTGAGGTACTCCCATGAAAGCGGCGCCAACAACGACGAGAGTAGGAGAAAAGAGCTCGATGAGGTCGACGAGCAAAGAGATATGGTGTACATAATAATGGTCGCCCAGAAACAACAGGCAGTATGTTACTACAACAAAATGGAAAAGGTCCGACCGCTCAAGATCGGGGACTATGTACTTAAAGCCAAAAACCAAGCAGATAGGGATCCACGAGAAGGCAAATTGGGAACCAACTGGGATGGGCCATACAAAATTATAAGCAAAGAAAACAAGGGTTCATTACAACTAGAAACAATGGAAGGAAAACAATTATCAAACAATTGGAATATCAGCCACCTCAAATACTTCTACTTATAGAAAATAAGAAGTGCCCCCCAAATCGTACTTTTTTTCTCACTTGAGTTTTGTCCCAATAGGGTTTTCTCAAGAAGGTTTTTAACGAAGCGACGAGTGGGACACTTCGAGTTGGAGTGTAGGAGAACAGACTGATTTTTTCATTGCCCGAATCCTCAAGATTCTCCTAGTCGAACAATGAAGGGACTAGATATATTGATACTAGGATTGGAATGCCAGCCAATACCCAAAATTTGTAACTTTCTCCAAAAAATGCCCAAGGTAAAAACAATGTAACCAGAGAAACGACGATAAAGTAATAGAAATTCACGTTTATCAAAAATGCTCTAACGAAAGGTTAAGTTCGACCAAGCTCGAACAACAGCTACCGGCCCTCGGTCACAACTTAACAAAAGGTGATGTTCGACCATGCTCAAACAACACCTACCGGCCTTCGGCCACGACTTAATGAAAGGTTGAGTTTGAACAAGCATGAATAGCACCTATCGGCCTTCAACCACAATTTAACGAAAGGTTAAGTTCGACCAAGCTTGAACAACACTTACCAGCCTTCAGCCACGACTTAACGAAAAGTTGCGTTCGACCAAGCGCGAACAACACCTTCCAGCCTTCGGTCATGACTTAACAAAAGGTTGAGTTCGACCAAGCGCAAACAACACCTATCGGCCCTCTGCCATAACTTAACAAAAGGTTGAGTTCGACCAAGCGCAAACAACACCTATCGGCCCTCTGCCATAACTTAACAAAAGGTTAAGTTCGACCAAGCTCGAACAACACCTATCGGCCCTCGGCCATGACTTAGCAAAAAGTTAAGTTCGACCAAGCTCCAACAACACCTAACGGCCCTCGGCCATATCTCAACTAAAAAACATACTTGAGCTATATAAACAAAGGGCTGATATGGCCCATGGCTATTCGACTCAAATGATACGGTCAGCTAGAAGGCGACAACAATAAAAAGGATAAAAAAAGCAAAATATGCAAACATAGAAG